CAGCCCTACCCTTGCCCCTAAGCTCTTTACACATTCGAAATGCCCTGCTGGACACTTCCCATCTCCATACCCCTGCTCATGTCTGCCCCCTGTCTGGAATGGCTTTGCTTTCATCTTTACTAATTAAAATCCTTCTCACAGTTTAACAACAACTGAAATGCCTCCTCCAAGATACCCTAAGACCTGATCGGTCCATTTGTAAAGATCTCCTTCCTTTCTGCTATTGCAGAGAATCACATTTCATTTAAACCCATCTCAGGGCATTTATCAAATCACACCTGACGGTGTAACTATTTATGTGTTTTGAAGGCAAGACAAAACTGTCTGTTGCACATGCTATATATTCAACACATGCACCAAGAGATGAAACAAGCGATTACAGTTGAACTGCCTTTAGGGTTCTTGTCAAAACAGGAATACCAGCACACACGGCACCTTTGTGCTCTTCCCATTTTAACGCAGACATTCTGCGAGTGTGGGTTATAGGGATGCTGTGTTCGGTTTCTTCTTTAACATGAATAAAAAGAGCCCTGGCCAGAGTGACTCAGTTGGTGGGGCGTCATGCTGTGCACCAAAAGGTTGCTGGTTCGATTCCTGGTAGGGGGTCTGCAGGAGGCAGCCAATAGATCGATGTTTTGCTCTCACATCAATATTTCTCTCTCTCCCCCTCTCCCTTGCTCTCTCTCCAGAAAATTAATAATAAAAAATGTTAAAAAGAATAAAAAGATATTAGAGATACCATTTCTCTTAAAAGAAACAACTTGAGTTGTGCCCCATTTTGGACCCCTCTGGTTAAACAGCTTTCCAGATTCCTAAACAAAGATATAGAGGACAAGCTTATCCAATTCACCGACAGTGCAAATCCAGGAGGTTAACTGAAGACATAATCAAGATCCACAGCCTTGATAATCCGAGCCTGGAATGATGGACTAAAGCCAGTAAGTTTGCTTTCAACAGTGCAAATGTAAAAACATTTCCAAAAATCAATTGCATATGTATGGGAGAGAGCAGACCTACTCTTTCAAATTACTTTGGCAGCAATTTGTGAAGAAAATAGTTTGTCTTCAAATATTTGAAGGAGGAGAGACTGTACTCTCTGGTTCCAGGGTAAATGGGTAGAATCTCAACACTTTTAGAAAGAACATTCCTTCAGAGTTGTCCAATAGTGGCCAGGGCTGAGGTATAGACACAGGAAGGGGTCCTTGTTTTAGGGTATGGGTTCCAGGGCCCCTTTTGTGAGACTGGGTTTCCCTGCATGATTGTCTTTTGCCCAGTTCTCCAGCCTCTGCTCACTCAACTCTCCTCCTTGCCACTGGTACGTGTCACACAGGCCTTCTCCCCTTCCTGAAACTCACCATACAGCCCACTCCAGGCTTTACATGGTTGGTTTGTGCTGTTCCCTCTGCCATGAATGCCCTTCCCCCACTCCTATCACCACCCCATTTGCCTGGCTAAATTCTACCCACCGCTGAGGTGTCCACCTCCCAGAGGAGTGTTATCTGATTGGACAGAATCCTATAATACCCCGAACCTCATGTTGTACACCTACAGACATTTAATTATTTACTTGTAGGCATTTAATTAAATGTCTGCCTTTTACCTTATCTATAAACTCCTTGAAGATAACAACCATGATTGTTCTGCTCATTCAAGTACCTCCAGTTCTGGTCAATGGGCCTGGCACAGAGTAGCTCAATATCTGTTTAGTGAATGACTTACCCCAATGCAAATATTGGACCTATAAGAAAAACTGGTAGAAGGAAGAGAAAGAGCCAGAGCCAGAGTGAGAGAGGGAGAGAAAACTGCATGTTCGAGTGACTATTTCTTCCCATTTGGTGATAGTTCACAGGATCACCATGGTGCAATCCCAGAGTTTCAAATTCTCAAACAAACATTCCCTATAAGGTTGAGTTCCTTGCAGCAATGAAGCAAAATCCTGACAAAAGCAATAATTAATTTCTTTTTAAACTCATCTGTAATGGCTGTAAAAGTCTCCAATTCTGGAGGATCAGGAAGAAATTAGGTCAGAATGATTTCACATAACCCTTGCTCTCTCCACGCTAACCAGCTGGGTAGTCTGTGAGTTCAAGCATCTGTTTCATGCTTCTACTCAATCTCTGAGAAAGAATCAAGTAAGAACTGGACTGCTGATCAGAGTCAAAGGCCAGGAATAACGAGTTAAGATCTATCCTGACCAGTCAATGAGATCTGGGGGGAAAAAAGCTTTATTTCCTATTCTCTCTTTTTTTTTAACCTATGAGTTGAATGGTTTGTCCCATGTTTACTTCTTTCCAGCCTTCACAGCTGTGTTAGCCCTTTCCCATAGAAGAAATATTTATTGAATACTTATATGTCATGCACCGTGCTTGGCCCTTACAAATACCTGGTAAGTATCAATTATCTCATATACTCCCCAGGAAACTGGCTATGTAACTTGCCAAACGTTACAGAACCAAAGAATATTGCATCCTAGGATTGGGACCCAGTAGAAATTCATTCAAAGGCCACTCTTTCTCTTTCTACTACATTACTCTGATTTAATTTACATGATCTATCAATACTACCTTTTGGTTTTAACACAATCACTAATGCTTATTGGATGAAACAGAGTCACTCTACCATGCTGTAATAAAGGGAAAGAGTTACATAAAACAGGATTAAATTATTGCTGTTGTGTCGATGCTGTTGTCTTTCCAAGGAGGAGAATCCCTTTCGCAGGGAAAACAAATCTGGGACATGAAAGAGATTTGATAGGAAACAGCCAACAACTTTCAAACATTTGGATAAGTTTTCATCTGGGAATTTTTGTCCTTTATGAAACTCTCCTAACTTCACAATGGTTTTGGCTTATAATTTACAGAAGAAAGAATTTTTGCGCTAACAAGAAATGTAGACGTTGGAATGAAAATACCATGGCATTGAGTGCAACCCCGTGAGACAAAGTCCTGGCTCATTTATTTTAAGAGAAGAATGCAGGGAGCATCTGTAAGTTCGGAGCAGCTGATGACATGTGACAGAATGCAGAGATGGGATCCGGCGGAGGTGCAGCACCGTATGGAAGAACTTGGGGCTTAGTCCCGGAGTGTTATCTGCCCCTGTCTCTAAGGAAGCCAGATAGGAACGTTTCAAGGATAAAGTTGAGAGTGAAGTGTGATATGCAATCTTAGCAGCCTTTGCATGATGCACAACAGGAGTATTCTGATATCACAGCAGCAACCCCATAAATGGGGAGGGATGTGAGTGAAACCAAAGACTATTTTGCCATCTCCTTTAAACAACAGAGAGGCCGAGAAGATTTTGTCAAAAATATCCTAACTCTGCAAGATCCTTGTTCTCTCTCCTCCAGTGACTAGTTTCCCACCTAAACATGATATCTTCAGATAGCTGGAGGCTACGTTTGTCAGAAAAGCCCAGAGATCACAGCTGTATTTTCTTATCTTGATGGCCAAGTTTTAAAACACTTTGAAATGGTGCCCCAGCCACCACAGTGAGAGAAGCTACAGTACAGACAAAATGTGAGATTTTGTTAAGGGGGTGTTTCCCCCCCCAGCCCTTCAAAGGTCTCTGTTTGAGCTCACCTGATAACACAAAAGCTATTAAATCACTTGAATGAAAGAGTCAGGTTGCAAGCTGTGCAAGTATGGAAACCAGGGAGCCCTGCTCAGACCACCCAGCTCTCCAACACCAGATTCAGACAAGATAAGAGGCTGCCTTCTATGGGGCCCGGCCCAGAGACACAGCCTTTCCAGAGAGCTGCAGGGTCCCATTGTGAGGAATGACAAGGTGCTCTGTAAAGGTGGCATTTGTCTAACTCACTGTACCAGTGGTCTTGGTTCTTTGAGAGAGAAAAAAGAAAGAAGTATATTTTTGAAAAATTTGGGGGGAAAAACCAGTAAGTCTATCTTAGGGTCTGTTCTCAAAGCAAACGCTAAACAGCTCCCATTCTAATTTATGCCAACTATACTTCAATAAAAAAATTAAAAAGTAAAAACCAGTTCCCATTCACCAGTAACTGAGTTTAGAAAACTGAGCCGTATCCATCAGGGTCAGAATAGCAGAGCTGGAAAGATACCCAAACTCACTTAATTCAACCCTTTCATTTTATCAGTGGAAGAAGTGACGCTTAGATTAGGTGGCTTATCCAAGATTGGTTAGCAACAGCTAAGGTTTGAGGCATCATGAGCACAAAAGCCCTGTCAATACTATTCACATTGGTCATTTTGGAGTCCTTGGAAACTAGCCCTGAGCCTGACATGTAGCAGGCACCCCCAAATATTAGGAATGAGGAGAGAGGGAAAAGGAAGAGTGCTGATGACCACATCCTTTTTCTTTTTACTCTAAATATACAGTGTCACAAATACACAGCACCATAAAATGTCACTGGGAATGGGGAGGGGGACTGAATTCTTATTTTCATAATTGTCAAATGAGAACCTTGAATGATGGAGGTCCTCCATCATTTCTATTTCTCGCAATCCCTGTGGGCTGGTCCCATCTAAACTCAGTTTCTAAGAACTGGGCTGCCCCTGAACAGTCCCAAGAAATCTAGCTGAGTTCAGCCTAACTCAGCCTAGCCCATGCGGGAGCAGACTACCCCCAGAAGCTGATAAAGAATTAGAACAGCCCTGGGCTTAAAATTTACAAGGCAAACATTGCTTGGCCATCTGGAGGCAAGTCAGGCAACACAGCCCAAAAGGTGGAGGCAGGGGAATATGGTGTCCAGGTACCTTTGTCCAACTCCCTTTCTCACTCATAGGAATGGAAAGGCAGAGATGGAAAGGGGAGCGAGAAAGAAAAAAAAGAGTTCGTGGGAAAACTGGCTTAAAAGCTCTGGTTTGTCAGCCAAGCATGCAAGACCATGTTGCGCATAACTTATGTTCAACATCAGCTCAAACTCAGGTTTATGAATTAGATATGAGGTTTAATATTAACCAAGTACATGAGACGAATTTAATTGCCAAGAACAAGGCAGAGCCTTGCTCATCCAAGTGTGATCTCACCTGCATGGGAGTCACCTGAGTAGATTCCTGGCCCCACCCCAGGTCTCAGACTCTTTGGGGGTGTGGCCTAGGCACCTGCCTTTCACCAGGCACCCTGGGGGTTCTGATGCATGCAGAGCTTTAAGAGTCCCTGATGGAGTAAAAGAGCAAAGGTAGTTAACATTTTCCTAGAGTTCTGCTGGAGGCAGTGTGGTAAGGGCATGTAGAAGCAGGATTCGTTTTCCAGAGCATGTGCATCACTGGGTCTGCTCTGTGGAGCAGCCCTGAAGAGGTTAATCTCTCCGGCAAGATTCCCAGGGCATAAACTCCAACCAGCCTTCGGAAATGCTCTTTTAGAGCTTTGTAATTCGTGCCATGCAACAAGACTGACAGCAATAGTAAAAGCAGAAGTAAAAATTAAATGCCTTAAATATCAGTTCTGTGTCCAGATGAAAACTAAAAGAAACTATTTACTACAGCATCAAAATCTCTAGACCAGATCTGGGTAACAAGCAGAAAGGGTTTAAAAATCAGTCCAAAATTTCAGAACAATATCATTTATTTGCCTCTCCAACACTCTCTCGTCCCCATTTAAAAAACACACACACACACAAAACTTGCTTTTATATATATTCAAATATAACTAAACTAAAAAACCTATCCAAAATCATTCACACATTTTCATACCGTTATACCATGAGGATATTATCTATTTTGTTAATTTTTGCATCTTTTCCTTTGCCATTTCATTTAGCTGAAAAGAAACACTCTAATTCTGGTGAGGGGGAGATCACAAAATTTAAAAATGGTTATTTCACTGGTGAGTGCCTCTGGAAATGGATTCAGAAGAGAGTTATACATTTTTGTTACGTTATAAAGAGAATCCCGTTTTGGGGGGTAGGGTCTTTTAACACTGCAAGTTGCCACGTCCTGAGTTTATCTGAGAATTAAACTTTTGCAGGCAGACTCTACATAATTCTTGCACCATTACTTGGAGCTATAGCGCCGCGCACACCGCCTCCGGGGCGCTGTGCTAAAGGACAGTCAGGGCGAAGCCGAGAGGCAGCTCATGAAGCAGATACTTACAGGTAGAGGTTTTCCTTTCCAAGCCCCGAAGTTCGAAACCTTTGGCGGGATCAGAGTCACTGCCCGGTTAATCTCCGCTTTAAAGAGCTTTGAGGGGAAGGGGGTGGGGGGCCAACCCCGGGGAAGGAAAGAGAGCTGAAATTCCAGTCTTGCAGGTCAGCTGAGTTTGAGCTTTCTTTGTACTAAAAGCCCATTAACCCTCCCAACAAGAAAAGTCAGAACTGAAGGTCACATACACACTTCACCGTCGCTGCGGGTCTCCCAGGCGGCCGCTCTGAAGACTTGCCGAGTGCCCAGCCTCAGGGCGCCCCGCGCAGCGCAGGGTCCAGCACCCCGCCGTGTCCCGGGGAGCCCCGACCTCCCCGCGGGGCCGCAGCTCGCCAGCCCCTCTGCTGCTGGGTCCGCGGGGGCGGGACTGAGCTTTGGTCACTGCGGCCGGCTGCCTCCCCCGGCCTCCCCCCGGCCT